CCAGTCGATCGTTGTCTCGAACGTTCTTGAACGTTGGTCAACGTTTTCGAATTCCCAGTGGTTGTCACGCAAACCTAGCATTTCATACTTATTCAAACAATTTCATACCATTGAAATCAAATCGCTTTCACACTGTATTGCATTCATTCTCTCGTGGAAGAACCGGCTGACGCATGCATTACAGGTAGAAGAGGTATCTGAACGTGTGTGAAGTTAGCCCCGCACTTTTCGAATTTTGTATTTTTTGAAATTGTGCTGCATTGTGCTACGTTTGTGCCGTATTGTGCCGTAAACCGCAACTCCGTAAATCAAAGCGTATTCAAGAAAATAAAAAAAGAAAACAAATTTTTGATAGCCCCGCACTTTTCGAATTTTGAGTTTTTCTTTTTTGTGCCGTATTGTGCTATGTTTGTGCTGAATTGGGCCGCAAATGAGAGATCGATAACATCAATAACAATTAAGAAGATAAATAAAAACTGTAGCCATAGTTAATCAAAAATGCAAGGAAATCTGTTGGAAAGATAGGATTTATTTTAGGAGAGGTTACAAGGTGTAGGATACAGTTTTCCTCTTTATTTATTCGTACAGAACATTTTACAAAGAGCGCCATGTTTATACTTTTCCCGTTCGATAGACGTCCAGGTATTATCGCCGTACTCTCCATATCGAACGGGCGTCTAGAAAACTAACTCTACTAGGGCGTCCAAGAGATGCTCTGTACTCTCTCGACCGACAGGCGTCCAGGTATTATCGCCGTACTCTCCGTGTCGGTCAAGCGTCCAGGAACAGGTCTCCCGTACTCTCCCTTCTTCCGGTAGGCGTCAAGGAATTGTCGCCGAACTCTCCTACCGGGATCTCTCTCTCTCTCTTCTCCGGCAGGCGTCCAGGTATTATCGCCATACTCTCTTGCCGGAGTCCCTAACCTGCTGACCAAGAGCGGCCGATGGTCTTACCTCGTCCTTTCTCTCTGTTAACAGCAGGCGAAGTAGACCGAGGCCGTCGCGAGCCCTTAATTTATATCCGCTCGTTGCTATCCGCGGTCGCCGAAATCAACGATCTCGTCGTCAGGAATGAATTTGGCGTTTTCCGCGCTCGCGCCTCGCGTCTCTGTTTCCCACAATACTCTATCATCGGTTTTCTCGAAATCGTCTGGACGTTTCCAGACTGCGTCGCTTTCGCGAAGTTTCTTTTTACCGTTGTTACATTCTCCCCCTCTGGACACGAAATCGTCTCGATGAGTAGTCCAGGATTCTATTCGTTGAAGTCCTCTCTGGAGCTGGGGCCGGCTTCTTCTTCCCCCCTTCTTTTCCGGGGACGCCCACGTCTTCGGATGGGCACCACTGGTGTCAGTATCGGCCCTCGTTCTCCAGTGTAGGGGCTGAGTGCTGAAGCGTGGTAGACTCCAATTGCCACAGGCTCGGTTTCCCTGGTTGTCAGCTCGTAACTGCTTGCGCCGATGCGCCGTTTCACGACGTATGGCCCATCTCGTCTCGGGGCCAGCTTGGATGAGTAGTTCTGGTCTCGTTTACTCAGTGTGTGGATGGCAACCCAGACCAAGTCGCCGGTTCCGTATTCTGGTCCCTCACGCCGTCGTTTATCTGCATACCGTTTCCTGCGGTCCTGGCACTCTTCCTGTGTTTGTTGCACCACTCGCAGGGTGTCGGCCAAGGCGAGCAGTTTTGGGGTGACCTCAGGTAGAAAATTTTCTCCTTCGATGATTGCCCTCAGGTCACGATTGGTGTCGTCTGGTGTCCGCAGTTCTCGTCCAAACGTGAGATAAGCAGCTGTATACCCAGTCGTCTCGCATTTCGCCGAATTCATAGCGAAACGGATGGCAGGAAGTCGGTCGTCCCAGGTAGTGTGGTCGTTCCGGACATATATCCCAAGCTGCGCCTTCAGGTCTCGGTTCTTCCTCTCCACTGGATTCGCCTCTGGATGATAAACAGAGGTAAAAGATTGCTGGATACCTAAGCAATGAGCAACTTGCTGCATTATTCCGCTTATGAACTGTGTACCGTTGTCGCTGATGATTCGGCGGAGTAACCCGAACCTTAGTAATACCTCATTTATTAGGACCTCTGCACACGCCGATGCGGTTGCCTGCTGTAATGGAAATATTTCTACCCACCGGGAAGCGGTGTCCTCGATTATCAATATCCAGCGGTTGTTCTTCTTCGTGGTAGGTAGAGGGCCAAAGAGGTCTACCGCCAGTACTTCAAAACGTCGCTGCATCACAGGTGTTTGAAGCAAGCCGGCTGGCTTGAGGTTGCTGGACTTGTAACGTTGGCATTCGATACAGGAACGGACGTACTCCGCAATTTCTCGAGTCATCCCTGGCCAGAAGTATCGTTTCATTATCCGGTGGAGGGTGTGTTGTACCCCATAATGCCCAGCCGTGGTGTCATCGTGGTATGACCTGAGAATGTCCTTCCCCTCGTGTGTCGGTACGACCAGTTGTGCTTCTTTGGAGTCCACATAAGGGGCATATCGATAGAGTATCCCATCGTCCAGGAAGTAGCCTCGAGTCGTCCATTTTCTTATCTCGTCGTCGTCCGTCGTGGTTTCCAGCGTCTCGATGATTTTCTTCAAGTCGTCGTCCTGGAGTTGTTGTTGTCTTGTTACAGCGGGGCCGCGGTTCGGCATATCGACTGCAACACCGCCAATGTCCGTCCTTCCCTGTTCGTCCCATGGTTCTGTTGGAAGCCTTGAGAGCATGTCTGCAACCACATTGGATCGCCCAGGGATGTATTGAATTTTGGGACAATAGGGCTGCAGCAGTAATGCCTAACGTGCCAATCGTCCGCTTGGTGACTTTAATGACATCAACCATTTTAAGGTTTTGATGGTCTGATGCGATTGTGACGTCCGCACCCTCGATGTAGCCTTGGAATTTGTCCACTGCCCAAACCACAGCAAGAGCCTCTCGTTCCGTAGTGGAATAGTTCTTCTCGGCTGGCGACAGTAGTCTGCTGGCGTACTCCACTGGGTGCTCGGTCTCCTTCTCTCCCTGGAGAAGAACTGCTCCGATAGCGTAGTTGCTGGCATCCGTTCGAACGGTATAGGGTCTGGTTTCGTCCGCTGTCTGCAGGATGGGTGTGCTGGTGAGGGCCTTCTTTAGGTTCTCGAAAGCTTGCTGTTGCTGCGAGGTCCATTCCCAGGTAGTTTTCTTTTGTGTCAGCCGGGTGAGTGGTTCCGCGACGCTGGCGAAGTTTGGTACAAACCGGCGATACCAGGAACAAATGTGCAGAAAAGATATTAATTGTTTAAGGTTTACCGGTGCTCTCATATTCTGTATCGCTTTCGTCTTGTCGGGATCCGGTTGAATTCCTTGAGGCGTAAGAACGTGACCCAGATACTTGATATTTTGACAACAGAATCGGTATTTCTCTCGATTCATTCGCAGTCCGAATTTCCGGAGTCTAGCGAATACAGCCTCCAGGTCTTCCAGGTGTTCGTCGAATGTTGACGACAGGATCAAAAGGTCGTCCAGATAGACTAGTACGTTTCGGGACCCCAGGCCCGACTTCAGACGGTCCATTAGCCGCTGAAAGGTGGCTGGAGCATTCTTCAGCCCAAACGGCATGCGTTTGAACCGGTAAACCCCAAAGGGGGTGGTAAACGCCGTCTTGTCCCGATCTTCAGGCCATACTCCGATCTGCCAATATCCTGACTGCAGATCCAGGGTGGACATATAGTTGGTCTTCTTGGCTGCATGCAGTAAATCGTCGATCCTTGGTAGTGGGTACGAATCGCTGACCGTGATTGCATTTAAGCGTCGATAATCGACGCAAACCCGAATGCTGCCATTCTTCTTTGGCACCAGGACCACAGGTGCAGCTCAGGGTGACTCGCATTCCTCGACGATGTCACATTCCAACATTTTCTTCAGCTCCTTTTGCAGCAGCTCTTTTCGCGGGTGGTAGGCGATACGGTGGTACTGCTATGGGAGCATGGTTTTCGGTGTTTATTCTGTGGATCGCCTCGGCCGTCGGAGGCCCCTCTGCTTGAAAGAGCTCCTTGTTAACCTTTAACAGATTTTGTAGTTTCTCAATTTCTTTCGGGGTTATACTTACGGCTTTGTCTTCTCGTATTTCTTCTATGCCGACTACCGCGATGTCCATCCGTCCGGATTCGTAGGTGCGTAGGCACTTCTCGAATAATTAATCAATTTCCGACCATTCGGATTTCGCCTCTTCCCTCGTGCGTTTTCGCGGGCTTCCTATCGGGCTTAATAGGGCTGGTGGTGATGGAAATTCTTGCGAAACTTTCTCCAGATATGTTTGTAGCCCGTTTGGTGTCTTTGCCACGAAGCACGTGATGCCCGGGGTCGACTCTCCTTCTGTCTCGTTAGTTTCCTCTTGATAGTCATATTTCTGTTTAGGGTCTTCGATAAAATGCCAGCTTCGTTGCGGAGTATTGATAATGATCCCAGCATCTTCCATGAAATCTACTCCCAGGAGTATACGATTGTCCTTGCTGTTGGGTAGGATGGTGAACTGGGTTGGAATTGTTGGTCCTTCCAAATCCACGTCTGCTTTCGTAACCAGGACTTCCCGGATACGTGGGTTTCCGTCGGCCAAAGTAACTTGCATGCTCTTACGTGAAAAAGTCAGTCCTTTCTTCTTGAGTACTGCGAAGAGGCTCTGACTCGCTACGCAGCACTTGGCTCCGGTATCGAAATAGGCATGACCCTTTACACCTGCGATGGTTACCGTTACCGTTGGTCGTGTTCTTGGCTGGTCCGGGGTGTTTACCGAGCAGAAAGCCGCTTGTGTCGATGACGTTGTCTTCTTGTTACAATCCGGGCATTTACTTCTTACGAAGCCTGGTTTGCCGCAGCCATAACATTTCAAGGGAGGTCGTGAAGTCTCGTCGCTGGCGTTGGTCTTCTTGAGTGTGGTGTTTCCCGTGGATTTCGCGGGGGCTTGGAACTTCCGGTGTCTACACTCCAGTGTACTGTGCCCGAATTTCCGGCATAATCCGCACCGTGACCGTTCCTTTCATCGTTGATCCTTCTTCACGGGTCGTTCCTCTAGATTTTGCTGCTGGGCCTCTTTTTCCAGCTTTTCAATTTCCCTTGCGCGGTTCACGAGGTCGGTGAAAGACGTGATGGATTCCCCCGAAATCCGTTCCCGTAGGTGAAAGCGTAGAAGGCCGTACAGCATATCTATTTGGACGCTTTCCGTGGGCAGCTCTGGTAATTCCGCAAGAAGGGCTCTTTTCTTGCTGATGAAGAGATCGGTGGGCACCTTTGGATCTTGGGCGGTGCGAAATACCTCGGTGTACACCTGATACGCGGGTCTTCGGGGCACGAAGGTAGCGCGTATCAGATCCACAGCTTCTCTCCAGGTTCGTACCGTGGTTTGGACGCCTCTCCACCACGTGGCTGCGTGTCCTTGCAGGAGCAGGGGTAGTCCACGGGGAGCGTTTTCGTCGGAGATATGCTCAATGTCTTTGTAGATGGAGGTCGTTGTTATAAATTCAACGACCTTTGCGTAGCATTGGATTCCATCAAAGCGCCCTGAACATTTCGCGAAGCTTCCTTCCTCTACCGGGCGTGTCCGTTGGATGGATTCCAGAATTTCGGAAAGCTGGGAGGTGGACATCTGGAGGTTCGTCGGTGAGGAGGATGGGTCGTGGTTCAGGGCCAGCTCGTTGGGCGTCAGATTTGTAGCCATAGTTAATCAAAAATGCAAGGGAATCTGTTGGAAAGATAGGATTTATTTTAGGAGAGGTTACAAAGTGTAGAATACAGTTTTCCTCTTTATTTATTCGTACAGAACATTTTACAAAGAGTTTACACTTTTCCCGTTCGATAGGCGTCCAGGTATTATCGCCGTACTCTCCATATCGAACGGGCGTCTAGAAAACTAACTCTACTAGGGCGTCCAGTAGATGCTCTGTACTCTCTCGACCGACAGGCGTCCGGGTATTATCGCCGTACTCTCCGGGTCGGTCGAGTGTCCAGGAACAGGTCTCCCGTACTCTCCCTTCTTCCGGTAGGCGTCCAAGAATTGTCGCCGAGCTCTCCTACCGGGATCTCTCTCTCTCTCTTCTCCGGCAGGCATCCAGGTATTATCGCCGTACTCTTCTGCCGGAGTCCCTAACCTGCTGACCAAGAGCGGCCGATGGTCTTACCTCGTCCTTTCTCTCTGTTAACAGCAGGCGAAGTAGACCGAGGCCGTCGCGAGCCCTTAATTTATATCCGCTCGTTGCTATCCGCGGTCGCCGAAATCAACAATCTCGTCGTCAAGAATGAATTTGGCGTTTTCCGCGCTCGCGTTCCACGTCTCCGCTCGCGCCTCGCGTCTCAACGACTTGTCATCTTTCGCTTCTATAAAAAAATTGAAAAACATGGTTAATACTCCGGAAGACAAAAATTTTCTCTGCACAAGTTATCGCACAAATATACAGTGGTTCACAAAATTATTCGCTCACCGTAGAATATGTACCTCAAATTGGACCAAATGACTTGAGGTTTCTCGATAAGCTATATAGATTAATTGACTATGATATAAAATTACAATTTTTCGAAATCGGGAAGAAAATAATAAAAGTGTAGACGCGTGTCCGCGAGATAACATAACAGACGATTATTTCAACAATTATTGCAACTGTAACGACCCAGAGATAGGTACGTCACTGCACCGACGTATAGGGAGAGCGGTTCCCCAAGAAGACGACTCGTATGAATGAATTAGGGATTATAGGTTCGTGTGGTGTGCGGTTGAGGAGTAAAATCCAAACATTAATGTGCTAGGTTAAAGATTTATTCAAGTAAGTAAACTAATTATGCTTATTCTGAGTATATAACGCTAGTATAACAATGTGTCCGGGCTAGAATAGAAATACAATAAGAAATTATAATAAGTACGCCCTAGATTAGAAAAATACAATGAAAAATATACGATTAGTAATTATTAGTACGCGCCTTAATCTGTGGATACAGCCAACACTCTGTACAATCACCAACTACGCTAAGTAATGGAAACTATACTTCAGTGGCTTGTACAGTACCCCCAGACACGAGCGGTCTTTGCCTACAGGTCGCAATCGGTTTCTGGTCTAGCCAGAGCTATGATAATACAGGCCTGCTCTAGAAGCTCCGCTCCTCGCTAGCGCTTTACACTTGAGTATGTGACTCAGTATTAGCACGTGTTCAACATGCTGCGTACCATGAGTAGGGTGTCCACAGATCTGAAGTCTCGCACGTCACCACTGAAAGAGAAGGATAAAGTTTACTTTTGCGCTCTATAGTTGCCTAAGCAATTCAGCGCAGAGCTTTCCTCTACTACCCGAGTGCTGTCTGTATTCGACCGAAGTCGGAGAAGATCTGATCTGATACCGCGTGGAACGCCTCTATTTATAGTCAGATTCTGCTGACTTAGCGCTTTTTTTCAATATAGAATTCCTTTCGATCTCTGGAATTCCCCATCACGTGACGGCCGAGCACCCCTGCTCCCTAATCTACGCGGATCTCCCTACTCTAGATTCTCACCCCATCGCGAGATCATCGGGGTTGCGCTGGCGCACACGTGGTCGCACGTCGATAATTTATCGATAATCTAGCTTACCGGCTGACTTACCGTCTAAACGTTTATCGACTTATTTAATAGACTGATTTATCTCTTGAAAATGAAAATTATTTATTACAAAAAAATATATAATACAAATTAACTAAATATTCATTATAAATTTAACTAAATATTAATAACAAAAATTAAATTAAACATTTTGTATGGTGTTTAGTATCGGAGTAATAGAGAGCCGGCGATCTCTAAATCCAACCGTCGCCCCGTGTTTACGTTGAATCGTGCGCTCTCTTTCCAGCATGCGAACACCGGAAAGATCGAGAGATACCGCGACGCCGTTAATCCTAATCGAATTAGCTAAGCCGCTTATTGGGTATTGGAACAAGTGGTGAAAGCTAATTGGCTCATGACGTCACAATATCCGTAACGGTTTAGCCGAATTCTGGAGATCGCTGAGCCCTCGCGTGCTTTTTTACCTACCCAACCGTGGTACCGATCACCCGCGCAGGAAATCGAAGACTCCGAACTCTCGAATTACGAAGACCGCGTCTAACACCGTCGCTCGATCAGCGTTTATCGCGTCGATTTCTCGTGCTCCTGTTCAGTTTCGTCTATCTCTTGTTGTGTGTGTTAACCGTTCGTGTGCGTATCGTGTGTGGTCGTAATTGCTCATGTGTGGTGTGCGTCCCGGTGTGTTCATGTACAATAAACGTTTCAAAAAATGAAACCTGTGGTACAGTCACTCTCGGACCCTACATTCATTTCCCGGCTGTTGAACATATGGAATATTAAATTAAAATTTGATTATAATAATAAAAAGTAAAAATGAAAAAAATGTTGGCTCTTTTCAGCGGGACGTTACACAACTATTGTTGCAGAAACCGTTGGAATAGTCGTCTGTTTCATTGTCTCGCGGACACGAGTCTAGAAAAGGCAATTTTTAAACTTTTTTATTTGAGCCTGTGATGAAAATTTGAAATATGACATTTGTAAAAAATATGTTATGTGTATGCTGAAAATTTCTTACTGTCGCTTTGTAAATCCATCCTTTTTTTTGCTTACTTCAAAGCCGTCCGTAGCACGCGTTGAACTGTCGATGCCAGTGAAATTGGAAAACGCGACAGCGTTGGCGTTTCGTTTTTTTTTACACGTACTTACAAGGGAAGTTCGGTAACTCGAAAGTCCCGATTTTTTTAAACATTAATAAACATTGAATGGTTTTTAATGCTCTATAAAACGAGACAATTAAATTGATAGAAATTCTTTGTTTAAATACAAAAAGTCCCCCCACCACTATTATTTTGAAAAATTTTGAATTCTGTGTCACGTTGGAAAATACGTAGAACCTCATTATAAATGCAAATATGTATGCTAAATTTGTCGAACAAAGTGGTATTTAAATAATTTAAACCGACACGTGCACTTTGCACTCCCATCTTTGAACGATGCATTATCACTTACCATTTACTAGTATGACCTACTAGTATGTGTGCAAGCACACATGTATAATATGTATGATATGTGTTTATTATAACCATTTTTTTATATCTACGATAGTTTTAAAGATATACAGGGAAATATGGAAACACCTATCTACCATCAGGGTATTTTCACCCTGAATAACTGAAATTGGGCCAAAAACAAAAATTGTGCTATACTTCTCTTGAGGACCCCTGTACGATCGAAACTCTTCCACATGAACAGTTTCAATACTATTCTTTGACTAAAATCTTTAAAAATTTAAGGCTTGGATCTTGCTTCGTCTGAGGTTCGAATAAGAGTGTCCGTCCTCTCAAAGTCAGCTCTCTTCGATCCGTTTCCCCCTTTGATTTTACATCTTCAGCGCGCTAAACACTTGAGAACGATAAGGGCGAGGTTCTGGGAAAGGACCGTGACTTCCGAACGTTTCAAAAGGAGGTTTAGGATTTGTCGACACTGGTTTGACAAATAATTATTCGGCATTAATAAGTGGTAAAATACGAGTTTATTCATGAATGCAAGGGAAAAAGCCCGAAGGCTTAAAAAACCCTTGAAGTTCGAGCTATGTGTGTGAGTGTGTCGCGTGTGATATGATTGATATATGAACGATTGATGAATGAGTGATATGAACGTTCGACGTTCGTGGTTGCCGGCGGGACCTTAGGTTTGTGTTCAGGGACCGGTAAAGTCCCGGGCGATGCGCTTTAATTGTTGCCGCTGCGAGGTCTCAGGTTTACGAACCGGGTAAGGCCTCGGGCAGATGATTCGATTGTTGCTGGCGGGACCCTGGGTTTGTAATCAGTGGACCCGGTAGGGCCCCGGGCTGGTGAATTTTCTGTTGGCGCGACGAGGTCTCGGGTTTACGAACCAGATAAGGCCTCGTGCGCGTTGTGTTTTTGAGTAGGAAACTGTTATAATCGAGTAAAAGCACTCGACTTCGTAATAAAAAACTGATCGCGGCAAGACGCTATTGAATTCTGAACTACGCGGTAAAAAAGGAAAAAAAGAAAACAAAACTGTTCGATCGTTCGCGATCGTGGTCCGTTGGTGACTGTTTTATGGAGGCAGGACGACGCCCCTTATTTCCAAGTGCTTCGACGTATCTGTTTCTTAGAACGAAATTTCGATCAGCCCATATCGGGCACGTTTTCTAAATATTTAATAGTGAACGCTCCAACAACCCCTACAAACCTGCAAAGTTTAAAAAAAATTCGGGATTTTCAAGTTACCGAACTTTCCTTGTTAGCGCGTTGCCATGGCCCACGTTGTCATCTAGTTCTTTCTAACAATAAGACGTCTTCGCGGTAACATAGAAGACATATTATTGAGAACATTTCCAAGCATTTATGCACAATTAGAAGAATTATACGCCGTCCTGAACATGCCCTGCATGGCTGAAACGACGTACCTGCGGTACCGGCCGAAAACGGCCTTTTTCAAGGCCAAAAGCGGAACAATATCTCCCTTCAACATTATATATAATAGTACTCTGTAGTAAATGTCTACAATAAAAGAAATGTAAGAAATTGTAAAAGAATCATTTAATAAATTTGTATTATTTAACTTTGTATTATATTATTTGTAGTAACGATTGTCATGTAGTTAGAAGCTTGAAAAAATATATTTCCAAAAAAAAAAGAAAATTGAGTCTGAGCGGACTCGAACCT